GTGCGCGCCTGGGATCTGAACCGGCGAACCATGGGCCGCCACAGCAGAGCGTACGCACTTAACCACTTGCACCACCGGGCCGACCCCTTGGGGGCTGTCATTTTATATGTTTTACTTGAGTTATAATCAGTGACAAAATATTGTTTTTTTCTCTTTTACAGACTTGGGCCTGGATCAGTTTATAGTAAAACGCTTTGATGGAAAGGTGAGCAAACTATGACACTTACATATATATCCTGTTAAGAAATTTTTAAATTTACTCTGGAATTATGTGTGAGAGATTTCTGAATAACTGTTTATCTTATCAAAAAAGCATGTTGCCTAGGTTGGGAGACCTATAAGTGCCTTCAGATGCTTCTACAGAAAGAATCAAGCAGGAAGTTCTTCTGTATTTTTCCATATGAGATAATACTCATGGGTTGCCTGCTGTATATGTTAGGGACTAATTCAGTGTATGTTGACATTTGAATTTTAATTCAATAGCCATCGTAAAGGTTAACAAGCCCCTCAATATTACATTTGCGTTTCTTATAAAAACACCTATCTGATTTAACCTTCCTCAAACTTTGATAATATGTATATAGCAATAATCCTAACTACAAAATTATGGAAGTCCTTACTAGTGCTTTTATAATAATTATGAAGACCACCACAAATTTGCATTATACTTACTTTCAATTCTTTATTTTATGCCTGAATAAATCATATAATAAATCATTCTTAAGTATAGAAAATGAAATTTTCAATTTTATTATCTCAAAGCAGTCAGTTAAACATGTTTTTCCCTTTCAGGCTGAATTCTCCAAAAAGAAAAAGAAAACATTACACAGGGTCAGAAAGAAAAGTAAAAGGTCAATTTTAAAGAGGAGGAAGAAAGTACATCAGAAAGAAGAAACAGCCAGGGATGGCTCTACAAAGCCAAAAGAGAAGGAAATCAGAAGGAAAATCATGAAGTGGCTGGAAAAGGCAGGATCACAAAAGAGAGTCTAGATGGGTAGAGATCAGGGTTAGAAGAAACTGATCTTGCAGGAATGTGTCAATCCTGCATCCTTAGGTAAAACTCCATATAATGGTAAGGTGAAGGTATAAGTGCTAAGGTCTTTTGCACAAGTGGAAAGAATGAGGAGCTGCCTTAAGAGAGATCTCAGCCAAGGCTTCATGCCTAAAAATTATCTTTCCCTTTCGGGTGGCACAGTGCCTCTATCTGTGGATATTCTCTTTTTAAAGTCACATATTCTAAAAGAAAGAATAATCAAAAAGAAAGAGCATTGAACTAAATGTTAGGAGACCTAGATTTAGTGTCCTGGCTCTGCTTTGGGACAGCCACATTTCTGATCCTTGGTGTCTCTACTTTATGTGTGATAAAGTACCATATCCATGTGAAGGGGTTACTGCAGACACTGATGTCAGGGTCTGATTTCAGAGTCTCTGGCAGGTCAGGCCCCTGTCTTATTTGTCTTTGTGTCACTCAGAGTCCAGCATATGCCTGGCATACAGGAGGTGACCAGTAAATGTTTGATGACTTAGAAAAAAATCACCTAGTCAATCACATATTTCTTGGAGGTATGACTCATTAAGCCAGTAGTATCTTATAGCAAAATCAGCTTAACAAATCACTTTTTTTGGTCATGGAAGGAGTCCAGAGTAGCATGAGAATTCAGTCCTCTATTGTTATACATATGTAAACCTGAAAACGTGTAAAAAAGTTGAATATGTGCAAGTTGAACAGCAAATTTACATGTCACAAGAATTTTCTTTCCTAGAGATCTCCCAAATATAAAATCCTTAATAGTAATTTATATTTCACACATACTCTTAATTTTTTTAATTTTTAAATTTTTATTTAAATTTAAATTTTAAAAAAAATTTAAAATTTTTCCTGTTTTGGCCAGTAACTATCCACTTGATGGTAAAAGTTTGCAGCTTCTGGCATAACTGATGAGCTCCACCTTTGTTTCAATTGTATTGAATTTATGAGCTCTACATTTCTTATCATAAGTGTCATTTGCATTTTTCTGATTTCCACTTATTTTTATAAAATAGCAAGAGTAAAATGCAATAAAACATTAAAGTATTTGAGTACCCACCTTGCTGTGGAGACAAATATGGCAGTGTTCTGTGTTTGGAAGGCAGACTTCACAGATTCTAGTTGCAAATTTTTGTGCACTGAAGCATAAAATTCTGAAATCGGAGCAGGAAAGGCAAGATTTAGGCATATCAATGTATAACAGTGTTTGAAAGCATAACTTGTATGAAAGTCAGGCACATGAAAGTTGACTTTATGGTACCAGGGCAACAGGTTCTGAAAGAGAATAGAGGAATGGGAGACTTGCATAAGGAGTTGTGGAGTTCAGCTGGTGACCCTGAGCCAGCCAGCTTGTCCGCTAGCAAAGAGTACAGATGTTTCCCTTTCATCCATGCTATGATATGCATATTTTATCCCTTTGCCAGGTTTTTCATTTAAATCCTGTATTAATTTCCATCAAATATATTCTTTTTTTTTTCCCGTAGCTTCCAAATGCATTTTGTGCTGGATGCCAACTGTTTGCACTCAGTGCTATCCCAGCATTTTTTTTTTTGTGAGGAAGATCGGCCCTGAGCTAACATCTGCCAATCCTCCCCCTTTTTTTTTTTTTTTTTTGCTGAGGAAGACTGGCCATGGGCTAACATCCATGCCCATCTTCCTCCACTTTATATGGGACGCTGCCACACAATGGCTTGTCAAGCAGCACATCGGTGCGCGCCAGGGATCCGAACCGGCGAACCCTGGGCCGCCGCAGCGGAGCACATGTGCTTAACCGCTTGCGCCACCGGGCCAACCCCCATCAAATATATTCTTAAGGTCTTGTTTTGGAGTGAAGGTTGTGCTTCTTAAATAGGATTTTTAAACTGAGTTCACCTCTAGTTTGTGTCTTTATGAATTGTCTTTTATTTCATATGCAGTTTAAGAAAGTAATTTCTATACTGTTTTTAAACCTTATGTAATGAACAGTGAAAAGTTCATTCAGTGTTTAATCAGTTTTTCCAGGGATTTTTGCCATGTATGAAGTCCTTCACTTGATAATTATGATAAGGATCAATGCTTATTCAATTGTTGATCTTATTATTTTCCCTTGGATCTTCATTACTCTTGTGTTCTCTCAATCAGAAAATCTTAAATCTTAAGTAGCAGTTTCCAGAGTATATAAATCCTAAGACAATTTCCTGTTGAAAAAACAGCTTTGTGTGGTAATTATAGTAAATTTCATGCATGATGGCCAGAACTTTAATAGAAAGCTAACACCCTAAAGGAATTTCCTTTTAAACTTGCTTTGATTTTCAAATGAATAATTTTCTCTTTCTCTCTCTTATTTTAACTTGGAAGATAAACTAGTTGTGAACTAGTTAGAGAAAGAAATATTTACTCCTATCCTCATATCCCACATTGTTGTAACTTTTAACACACCACTTAATAAAGTCTATTATTGACCACTAAGAAACACTAGCTTATTTTATTGCCTTCTAATTGAATTGTACTTGAGCCTTTTTGTCATTGAAAGCAAGAACAATTGTAGAAATAGTATCATTTTCCTGGGGGTGTTTTCTTATTTGTACTTGAATTTCATACAACCTCCAGATGCAAATAGAAAAGAATGGCCCAACTAATATTGGCAAATAATTGAATAGTTATTTCTTGCTTTGATACCTATCATCTATTCTCCTATTCTGTTTGACTAGAAAATTCCCTTAAGTAAACAGAACGTTCCTGTTTCAACTGATAGTCAATAAAACTGAATTTGATGAAGCAGCTTTTGAATTTTGGGGAGAATCTTATTCCAGAGCCCATCACTACCTTATGTTAATGTACACTAACCCCTTACTCTTTAGGTATTAGCAATTTCCTTTGTAGAAAAGTCATGAAATACGTTATTATTGGCGCTTGCGTCATTTATGCATTTCAAAACTATCTACTAATGGCAGGCATTATATAAAGAAGCCATAGTCAATGGCCTTTGGTTTTAAGAAAATATTTTGTAGATAAATGATATTCTAAAAAGTATTCTGACTAGGTTTAAAAGTTTAAAAACCTCAAAACTTGAAAGAGTTCAGATTTTCTCTTAGAAGATATTTGAAAATCATTATAAATAGCATATTAGTACTATCATACAGATGGAAATACAAAATATGGTCTGGCTTTTGTTTTAGCATAATATGTCTGATTGAAAAAACATACCCTCCTCCTGCAATGTCCATGCATTTTCCTTATGACTTGTTAATGCAGTTATTTCATGAATTTTGAATTATTTCTTTAATGAAAACTATATTTTTTCTGAGTTTAATTTTTTATCATCTAGTAATTGGTCTATAAAACAAAGCATCATTTCTAAGTGGAGCCTTTATATTACATAATCGTCAAATATTTCTTTCATTTAATCATTTAGTTGCTGTCTTTTGTTAGTGTGGTTTGTCTCAAGTGGTTTATACCCTTAATTTCCCATTTCTTTTACCTCTCCTTTTTTTCCTCAGCATACCAAAGATAAAAATTATTTTTTGTATCTTCTGTTCCCATTGCATGTCCTAGACAGTTTTCTCCAGATCAAACACCGCCATGTTTTCTAAAAAGTTACAGTAGAAAACTGCACGGTCTAGGTAAAATTGTTTCTTAAGTAAAGAAACAATATTCCAGCGTTTTGATATAGTCCTTTTTTCTCTTCTAAAAACTTTCAAGTTCATACTGTATTTTCAAGTAACTACAAGTTGCTTATTGAAACTAATTTTCCATTATTATCGTTCCACCATATATTTCTTTGTCAGAAAATAGATTTTTTAATCTTTCCTCCCTTCCAGGTTCCCTTTTCCCCCAACCTCTCCCTGAACATTTCAGAAATCATGCCTCTGGATTGAGTTTTTTTCATTATTTGTAATTACAGTCCCCTTAGAATCTCTACAATTTGGAAGAAAGAATTAATGCGTGTTTTATTTCCATCTCCTTTATGATACCTACAAGAATATTTGTTCACATGGAACAGGAAAACATTTTATATCAAATTAAAATGAAATATTGTCCACATTCAAGTGAAAGAGATAAAAATACGGTCAAAGCCTAGAAAGGAAAGTATTGATTACAGTGTTTATAACAGAAAAGATGATCAGCAGAAAAAAAGTTGAGAACCATAGTTAAAGATCAAAGCTTTAATAAAATCAAATGTTTTTAATTGCTTACTA